GAATGCGAGTGGAGGTGCCTGATGCCAGATCGTTCACATAACGCAGTTTTTGATCATCAACTTTTCGAAAGATTCGAATCTGTTGGACAGGCTACGGAAAATGTTGATGATGGCTCCGGTGGCTGCACGTTTAGGAATATTTCAGAACATTTTGTGTATGCGTCAACTACAGTGAATAAATGATTCCCGTTGAGTGGTCCGGCAAAATCAATGTGAGGTCGTGACCATGGGACGTTCGTCGCTGGTCCTTGCTGGTGGTTGGTCTTGACAGGATTATGGGTTGCTTGTCCCCTCCCCTCCGACGAGAGAATATCGGCGAAATTTCCCTCCGACGCAATACTGTTAGTAAGGTTGTCTGGTGATCTGGAAGGGTATATGTATATATATCTATATATACATAGAGAGAGAGGCAGATGAAATCCAAGCCTTGTAATGTCACAAAGCGTTGGGCTCCGGTTGCCTTCCCTCAGCCCTATTTAAAGATAGTGAAATAAAGCTTGTTGTTTATTACTCACCTGTATGATGAACAGCAGACGGGGTAAACTCCATAGTCACTAGGACCTGCTGTTCAGTGTTGGTAACCGGTAACCTAAGCCCCAGAACTTGGAGTGGCGAACCACATAAGGCCCCGCTGGATTTGACGTGGTATTGACCAATACGACAACAAAGCTGCCTACCACCAAATTTGGGTGGCGGTGGCGCTGCTCGAGCCTCTGATCATACGGTCCAAAGCACGCCGGTGATAGCGACTAAACCACTTCGCCACTGAGAATTTGTGGCTATGTTCTCTAAAGTATAGTATACTGAGCAGGCCCCCTCGTGGGGGAATCGATTGTCATCCCCATCTTTAAAATGGGTCGCAGTGAGTGCGCCAATCACAGCAATATAAGCCTGATCCCAGTAGCATCAAAGCTGTTAGCGTCCGTCATTCTTCGCAGGTTGTACAAAACGCGTGAGGAGCAGGCTGGGCTTTGCACCGGTCATCCACGCATCGATCAAATCTTCACCCTTCGACAGTTGCTAGAGCACCGCCATGCTTACCACAGACAAACGATCATTGTGTTTCTAGACATTAGCGCGGCTCTCGACGCTTTCGATAGAGCCACGCTACGGAACTGTTTGTTTACAAATGGAGTAGCTGAGAAGTATGTGTCGATCCTCAAGTAGTTGTATTGCCATACCTCAGGTCGCGTTAGGGCCTATGACCAGCTTTCGCCGGTGTTTGCCTCCAGTGGAGTTCGACAAGGTTGCCCTAAATCCCCATTCCTCTTCCACTTCACCATAGAAGATATTCTTCCGGACGCTTCGTCCGGTGTAGCAAACGGTGGAGTCGAATTCCTTCCAGGTAACACAGTCCTTGAATATCAATATGCCAATGTCATCACCTTGCTGAGTGACGCCGCATTCCTTAAGTTTTTTAGTTGAAACCGGACAAGCAATGTCGAGGCTAGGTGTAGCGTTTTAGGTAAAAGCAGTCTGCCACTGAGAAGAGTAGTCGACCTTAGATTATACTCGTTGGAGCATGTGTTGCGCATTTCACCAAGTTCAGTTCAATTCAGTTTGTACAACCATTAACCATGAACCATCGCGCAGCGGTTTCGGTTACTTTCTTTTGCCCACCCATTTGGATGAACATTAAGAAAAAGACAGGAAATGTTGAAAACAGGATCAAAGAGAAAATTTGGAATTTGAATGAGGTAATTTTGCAGAGAAATTGACAAGATGCATGAACACCACTGTTTGCGACACTCAGACATCACTGTGTCTCTAACCATCGGGTATGACCATTCCGAGGTCCCGAGCCTAACAGGACCTATGTGACCCAGACTCCTGGTTAGGGTTTTTGTACCCTCATACCAGGTCTTAGCTTGACATCGCTGGCCGTGGCAACCTATCTAATCACATGCGTACCACATGCCCCAACCAACGTAATCTATGGAGATCGACCACTTACTCCAGTGGGCGACCGCGGTTGCCTAAATCGTTTCGCCTGACCTCAGTATTGCTCGTCCGGTCGTCCCACCAGACTTGTGCAATGCTCCGTAGACAGCGATGTTGAAACGTCGACAGTCTATCTTTGTCCTGTTTTCTTAATGGCCAAGTTTCTGCGCCCTATAGCAGGACTAACCGAACTGCACTCGACCTTTCACAGACAGCCGGATGTCGCAACGGCGCCACAGATGTCTCAAGTTGGCAAATGCCAACCGAGCCTTCTGTTTGCGAGCTAACACTTCATCCATGATGCGTTCACCCGGTGAGATGAAGTAATGTTTTACACTTTAAAGATGCAAAACGCATACCGAGTATGGCTACGCTGGTATTCAAGTTATCCAAAAATGCTTGCAACTTACCTGGATCTTCCCTTAACGGCACAGTTTCGTCTGCATACTCTAGAGCAGACAGTCTGCCTCCTGGGCGTAAATCGATACCGCTATCCTCGCACGAGGATAGGGCTGTTTCCATAATGAAATCTGTAACAAAGTTGAATAGAAAAGGAAAAAGAGAGCAACCCTGACGAACACCACTTTCCGTGGTAAACTCGATCGAAAAAGTGCCGTAAGCTCCGACTCGGCTTCGGCTATTATTGTAAAGGATTGAAAGATAGAAATAAACGCACCTTTTATAGCGAGGCAGCGCTAGGGTTTAAAGCTGTCGACTGATTCAAAAGCCGCTTTCAGATGGTGGGTCTACATAACGAGTGTCTGTATTCCATGATTTAACGAAGTGTGAAGATGTGGTCGATACAACCTCGACCAGGTCTAAAATCAGCCTGGTTCTCACGCGTAAACCTTTCGCGTGCGGCAGACGATCGACGGAGTATAACACCAGCTAGAAGTTTAGAGACGATGTTGAATAAACTAATTCCTCCGTAGTTTTCACAAGAGGATGTGTTACCTCTCTTGTAACTCGGTACGATGACCAATTCACACCGTTGCGTTGGAACCTCTTCCCTCTCCTACACTGAGCCCAAGAGTTATGTTAGCTCCTAAACAAAGGCTGAGCCTCCATCCTTAAAAGCCGATGGGGACAGCCCGTCGGGGCCGGATGCCTTACGCCTTTAGGGGTAGCTTATTTCCCGTGAAACCTCCGTTTCAGACGGGGGACTGTAATCCATCTAAAGTATTTACCCAGTCGAAGCGGAGGGTGATAGCTCAGATGTCAAAGAGGGCCAGTTGAACTGAGCCTTGAAATGTTCAGCCCAATCGGCAAGACGGCGTTGCTGATGGTCGATCAGTGTGCCATCGAATTCCTTAATTACCTCACGCCTAATTTCCTAGGGCCCCCATTCCTAATTAGACGGAAAAGATTGCGTCTATTACCAATAGCCGCAGCTTTCTGCATCTCTTTATACTTCCCTATCCACCTTTTCCATTTTACCAAGTAGATTTGCACAGCGCGCGTTGTTTACCAGGTCAAGTGACGCATGAATAAAGCTCAAGGGCGGTCAAACTAAAACTTGACATGGAGTTATGTAAACCCTGACCTGGGTCAAATCGGTCGCATTAGGATTCTTGGATGAGGACCTTGGGATCCATGGAACCGATGGTTAGAGATACTGAGTGATATAAGTAAATTTCTTTAAAAGTGGAGCTCGTGGATCCACCTAATGTCCTTGCAACCTTCGTCTACCTGAATTCCTTCTTTCTCTTCGACACTGCTTTCAACATTCCAATTTGGTTTATCTGAACGGGCAGCCAAAATACAACAACCAAAACTGCCCAAAAATATACATGGTTAGTGCCTGTACGTATCTGATTCATTCCGTAATGACTTCTGACCTGTTCTCATGGATTGGCTAGTTTGGTCGACCTAACATTATTCTCGTTATTGTCACCCTAACGCACACCTGTTCCCCTTTCATGTACAGCATGTCATCGGATGACGTGTTCAACGGATTCGATCGTTTGGACTCGTCGGGCACCGGCAATCCATCGGACGTGCTTGACTTTCTCAACAGTTCCGACAATGAAAATGAGCTGACTGATCCACCCAAGGTTCTGGAAAATTCTGCCGCAGATAAGACTTCAGAGGACGAGTCTGCCAATGAGGATGCTCCTTCTTTGACCCTGTCCATTACAAATGTGGTTGTCATGGCGAGTATGCGATGCCATTTACGACTAAAGGAAATCGCTCGTTCAAGTGTAGATGTGGAATATAAAGCATTGCAAAATGTGAGTGATTTGTCATCACACGCAATTTGTTCCTTCCGTGGCAAAATGACCATTC